AGATCAAACTGAATATGTGTAAATGCTGCATACAGATAAAAAATAGATGGCAAAATATTTAATAATACTACTACGATCATCACAATGTAAAGGATTCCTCGGTAAAACCACACTTTTGTCCTCTCTACATCAATCACAATATCCTAAAGGAACTTCAAAAAAAGACGTGCACACTTGTCCTTTTCATGAAGAGTGGGACAAAACGTTACGGGAAATAGACATAAATTGTGTAAGCCAGGATAATACGTGGTCTACGGAAAGGAAAATACAAGACCTAAGAGAAGTCATGAATTAAGTAGGGTCCGGCTGCGAAGGGATCGATAACAGTTAATGCTTGTGTCATCTGATTCGATCCGGTGTAGAATAATTGAGTGTTTTGCAAGACGAGGATATTCCGTAGATGTTGCGTGCTGCAGTTAGCCTTTCTATAAAGAGTGATATATATATGATTTATATTTCATGAAATTTAAATAGCACACATTTATCATATTCAATAATTGTTCAGATGAAACTGCTCTGGCTACAAAAAGTGGCTCCACTTTTCTGCAAAGATGGCAGCGCTTCATCCACTCTTCGTAGTACATTCTAACTAGTTGGTTAAAATGGTAAAACAAAAGTCATACATTTATTAAGCCAGGATAATAAAAATAGAGTGTTTAAGTATGTCCGGGAAGAAAAAAGACAAGACTTGAGAAAACCTATAAATTGAGTAGGGCCCGGCCGCGGTAGCAGTGGCAGCATTGATAACAGTGAATGCCCGAGTCATTTGAACCGATCAGGTGTAGAATAAATGAGAGATTTGCAAGACGAGACTTCTCCAGACGACGTTACACGACAATGGGGAAGAATACTCTACTCTTGACGGGATTTCGACTGACGGAAAACCTTGTTCTCACTGTTTTGTTTTCGAAAAATGTTTTCATGACTTTCACTTAACGTAGTTTTCGCTCGAACCTACTCAAAAGATTTAATCCTCAATATTCATTAATCAATGGAAACAACCAAAACTGCAATATGTATGTGAACTTTTATGAGCCAGTAGCTTTATGGCTAATTTGACTTCTTGTGCAATGAAAGAAGTTGAAAAGTTAGTTATATAAATAGTTGAAAAGTTAAGTTATATAAATAATAATAAAAGTTAATAAAGTTGTTTAAGATTTGAAAGTTATGTGTATGTTGAGTCTACATTTATCGTCAAAAAACCCTTACTACTGCAGTGTCTATAATTGCGTTAATCTAGCCTAAATAATATGTTACAGTTTTTTCGTAGAATCGAAGATTAATACATTCTAAAATTGTCTAGGTACTTATCTTTAATCACACAATATGTGCAACAACTAAGTGATAACACCTCTAGTACCTCCTCAACCTTGCGTGATACGAAAATGCAGTTTGAATATTCATTTGCACAAACAGGGGCTACTTCATTACATCATACCTCGTCTTTGCACTGTCTTTTACTACAAAATAATAGGTCAACTTTGTTTCTTTTTAATGGAACCCTATGCTGAATTTTAACGTATAGTAATGAACATCAAAAGACTATTTCAAATATGTGTACATATTAATATTTAAATGAATCGTTTTTCAGAAATTGATATGTTTTTGTAATGTATTTTCTACTGTAGCGGAAATTTTCCATTCTACCTTTCCTGTTAACTGAATGGGGACTTCGCGAGTGCTCCTTCAGACAAACGCTGAACACCAGATGCTTGTATGTGACGGTTAGTTAAGAAAACATTATGATTAATTCGATATTGTTCATTTATTTTTTGTATTTTTTACTTAAAATTTATAATAAAATATGTTGTCAAAGTTGTCAAAATAACAGAATATTATTTGAGTGAAAAAACAAGAACTTTCGGGTATTTTGCATGCAGCATTTGAATCTTCCTTCGACCAAGTAATCTTTCGTCAAAATTAGTATCCAAAAAAATATATGTTACTGTGCTCAAATAAATGAGCGCGTTTGTCTGAAGGACAGACTCGCGAAATTGTCAATTTACTTAGCAGAAACGTACGAATGGCAAATCGCCGATCCAGTATAAAAACTCGTTATAAAAGCACATCAATTTCTAAAAAAAAGATTCGCTTACTTACGAAGATGTTCACATATTTGAAATCGTATTTTTAAGCCCATTATGACTGCTGAAATTTATCATAGGATTCCATTAAAAAGAAACAAAGTTGACCCTATATTTGTGTAGTAAAAATAGTGCAGAGATGAATTATGGTGTACTCAAGTTTATGAAGTTCCTGTTTATGAAATCGACTGTCCAAACAGCATCTTCGTATTATGCTCGGTTGAGGAGATACAAGGAGTGTTATCACTTAGTTATTCCATCCTGTACAATATGAAACAATGAAATTTCCTCTACCATGTATCTACCATATAATCCTTTTGAAAGGAAAGTCGGATAATACACGGAAGTGCCCTACAATCGTTTCGATATTATTAGTTGTTTTATATCTTTAACTTACACATTCCTTTCATATACATTTTTGTTTTCAAGACACGTAAAAATCATTACATTTCGACGGCAAAGTTTACAAATTTCCAGTGGTTTTACATCTTACGAAATATTTATGCTGTTAAAAGGATTTTCAAGGAAAGAATCGCCAAACAAATTACCCGGGAAGAGCTTCTGGAACACAGGTAGCGCCGAGGGTGAGAATGGAAAGTCGGAGTGGATAAGCAGCGCGAATGGGCGTTAACAGAAGGACGGATTCCCACCGCAATTAGCCCAAGCGGGGGCGACGGTGATGGCGATGACGTGATTATCGCGGGGGCGGTGGGAGGGGCAAATGGTCACGCAGAGGGCGTTGCCGCGCAGCGAATGCTTCCGGGCATCCCCCCCCCGGAGGAGAGCCTGAATAGTTAGGGGAAAAATCATCGGAATTTTCAAGCTGAAACAACGACATAACATCGATGTTTTGCTTTCGATGATTTTGCAGATCGACTTGTTTGTCCTGATACATGGACCTCATCCATCTTTGGCAGTGATCTGAGGGCTTCCCAATCTGCATCAAACGAAGGGTGGAGCGGTGAACAAAGGATTGGGATGTAGACAAAGGACGCAGGGTTTGATTGATTGATTAGTAATTCCCGGCGTGTCAATCGCTAAGGTCATTGGTCCCGTAAGTGTAGTGCATGTTTCCCTCGGTAGGTGATCTCTTCCCCCCGCGAGATTGTAACACCCGGCAAGCCGACCTACAGCTGGCTAGCGGGGTTATCCCCAACCAGGTATCTCCCACCTGCGGGGCACCACCCCAGCCGGGACAATATTTAAACTTTCGACCGGTCTCGCAGCATAAATAGAAGGAAGAGGAAGAAAAGATCGCGCGTGGCCCATGGCCCCTTGGTTAGAGTACTGATCCACTGTCCGCCTGGTGTTGATCGAAGAAACAACGGAAAACGAAGGATGGAGGGAGGAACGAAAGGTTAACTGTGGATGGAGGGGTGGAGAATGGAAGCAATGATGAAGGAACCATTAAAGTCAGGAGTGACAAGTCGCGGCGCGTGGCTAGTGCGTGAGAGGCTCACGGAGCAGCGCGTCTCGCGCCGCGTGCGGGGCGAAGGGCTGCCGAGGGCGGGAGGGCGAAGGGCGTGTGCCGCGTCGAGGGAGTTGCGTGGCGGCGCCGGGGCCTGGCGTGCG